TTCTTAAGTACACACTTACAGCAATGTTTCTTAAGTACACACTTACAGCAATGTTTCTTAAGTACACACTTACAGCAATGTTTCTTAAGTACACACTTACAGCAATGTTTCTTAAGTACACACTTACAGCAACATTTCTTGAGTACACATTTACAGCATCGTGTCTTAAGTACACACTTACAGCAATGTTTGTTAAGTACACACTTACAGCAAGGTTTCTTAAGTACACACTTACAGCAATCCTAAAGTACACACTTACGGCAATGTTTGCTAAGTACGTAGTTTAAAAACTTCTTGATCATTTGAATATTTTATTCATTTATAGTCCTTCCTTTAATTCAATAAAGTAACATAATAAATGCAGCAAAACTGTCAGCAACTTTATAAAAGCTAGTTCACAAAAACTATGTTATGAAATAATTGCAACAAACTGCAACATATCTTTGCACTGAGAAAATTCTTTCATAAACACACATCTTACAAGAATTAAAGACAAAATTGAGACAACATCATCTAAAATATGCACTGTTATAAAAGTTCCTTTGGGTTTATCATAAATAAAACAGCTGCTGTGTAACGTTTTTCCTTATTAACCCTAGCAACATGGGTCATGGGTCAAAGGTCATGTGATAGCATTTGTTGATTCGCATTCAAAATTTTATTGTACCACAATTTTATGATTGTATGTCAATAAGTTTGGTATCAAATTGTAGATTAAAATTAAAATTCTAGTATTATACATTAATTAATTTGTTAATTTAAAACTAAATATTAAAAAAAATCCCAAATATCAATTTTTCTGTGTCACATGGTATGTTGCATGTAGCATTGATTCAAATTAGATGTTTGTGAAATCCAATTACAAAGTCTATAGTTTCTTACAAATTAGATACTCAAATTACTGATACTTACAAGCTAGAATGTAAAATAAGAACTCCTATCTTTTTTATTTTATGATATGTTAACATATTTATTGAATTAACCAAGGTGGCCCTGTCCACCTCTTCAGTTTTTGAAAATACCTGTTTATGCACACCTACTTCACCCAATGATGTGTGTATAATACATAAAAAGCTCAGAATATCCCCTTAGTGGTTTTCTCAGTCTCTGCAAAGTATTTAGGTGGCAAACTCTTTCTTTTCATGCTAGATTCCAAGTGGTAAGGTAATACTTTAGTGAGCTCAAAATTTAATATTTTTTAGACCCAAACACAGCTTAGTTATTGAGCTTGATAAATTATAGTGGAATTCTGTGGTATTGATATAGCAATTTATGATTTTTTGTTATTTCAAAATGTATATATAAAACCGAAAAAAAAAGTTATTTCATTTCACATTCTCCATGTGCAAAATTTGATAAGGCTTAGCAGCCTATGGCAAGCAGCAAATGAGTACAAAGTTCGTAATTAGAAGAGATAATTATTTGCTATACTTCTTTATTTACTTCTCTATGTTTTAAGAACTTATTTGTAAATAGTAATAATGTATATAGATATTTAATGTGTTATAACTGAAATGTGACCGTATTTTACAAAATACTAGTCCACCAAAACACAGCCAAGACAAGTCACTTTGTAAAGGCCAGTTTTATATTCTTGGATATGGTAACATGAGTGCATGTGCTCTGCATCATTGCAACTTCTATAATGTTAGCCAGGCATGGCTGATAGGTCAATATAATAAAAATAATAAATATATATAAAGATTTATAATGTTATGAAATTTAAGCTATTTAGACTGAAAATTTGTGTTTTTGTGTCATAATTTGTAGACATTCTAGAAAGAAAAAAGCATAATTTATATTTCCTTCCTAATTTTTTATGGTGATTACGAGGTCGGTCAAATTAACCCAACCTGTACAGTAGTGAAAATAACAGATAAAATATTATCAGGAGGTTATAAAGATTTGCATGTGAAATTTGAAAATTTTCTGATGCATGAAATTATTTTAATCTTAAAATCAAAATTACTTTACATGTTGGATAATCAACATTCGAAAAGAAAAAAAGGCATGAGAAAAACATTACTTAGGAAATCTTAAAAATTAATAAAAAATATGATATTTTCTGTACAAAAGCCTCAATGTTTACTGATAATATGCAAAAGTTCGTGAAGATACGCTTACTCATTTAAAAGTTATAACATGGAGACTATAACAAGTACAAAATGGTTACGAGGTTGGTCCCTGGGACATGACCCATGCTGAAAGAGATAACCCTTTTACAAAAGGAACCCCTTTAAACACTTTTTTGCATAAGTCACTGTGTCACATTCAAAATTTAATTAAGGACCTTCACTATCAATGTATGTGATTGAAATTAATATTATAATGTAAGGTATGATTCGAAGTTTTATTTTTATACAAGTTTTAAATCCTTTATTTCAAAATAAACCTTTAAAAACTACTTTGAACTTCAGATGCATTGTCACATGACCAATGAGCTATGAAAATTCTCTACTTTGGCTCTCTGTATCTTCAATAATACAATGTAGTTGAGTAGAGGTATGTCTTAACAATAAGATGCTTACATAACATGTTGAATCATTCATTTCAAAGTTCTCTGAATAAATGCAGTTGAAACAAGTAATAAATTTTTTCAACCCCTGACAGTTGTCATGCCCACCTCAACAGATTTACTTGAGCTCTATAGCCTACATGTAGAAATTAAATACACATGTGTATAGTCAATAGAAAGAGTTCATTTTACACTATAATCTAACAAAGGTTATTTTGAAATTGTTGAGCAGTTGTTGTCGTGGGTTGCCCGTAACTGATGGTAGTGTTGTTGGCTGCTTGATCGACTATAGCACTTATGGTTGTTTCTTACCTAAATATGTTATAGTTAGAGACACAGTTTAAATTGTATTTAGATTTAACTATTATATTTTAGTTAATTATGTATTAGTTATCTTTTAAAATGCATAACTGAAAGGTTGTTTCTTACCTAAATATGTTATAGTTAGAGACACAGTTTAAATTGTATTTAGATCTAACTATTATATTTTAGTTAATTATGTATTAGTTATCTTTTAAAATGCATAATTGCAAGGTTTAAATATACATCATACTTTGCATCTGTTCTCAAGGCTTACAATTTTATGTGGTGCATAAAAATTTTGCCAAAGGGTTGCACATGTCTCCCAAAGAAACTGTAATATGCTTTGAGAACACCACTGACTTGTGTCGAGATGAACAATAACTAGTAAAGGACAACAAAGGAAAATGAAACATTAAAAATTAACTATTTCTATTATTTCATTACATTGTATGCTGATGATAATAGCTAAAGTTAATGATATGGTGGAGAAAATGAAGAATAAAATAAATATTTACCTTAAAAAACTATTGATATTGTTTTAGGAAGTTCTAGATATCATGCAAATTAAATATGAAAATTATAAGATGAAGAAAAGTATTTTTATACTTAAAATGAAAATCACCTTGTACGCAATTTAATAGTTTGAATGCAAGTAACTAAATATAAAAATACCATATTTTAGTAAAACACTTAATTATAATAATGTCATTCTTTGTGTACAAGATAATTATGATGTTTAACAAAATTTTACCAGTTGTTGAGAAGAGACATTAAGAAATCTCAAAGTTACAGCATATATTATTGTACAAGTGAAATTATCCACTCGATTTCTGCAAATTGAATGAGCCCACAAAAGGGTTAAAAAACAGACAAGATCTTATCATAAAATTTATGCTTGGTTTTTGAAAAGAATATGTTCATTTACCTCTACGTTAGGTTTTTCAAAGTATGTTCGTTTCCTCTCCTTGTCCTTCTCTGTTGTCTTATCTCTGTTTCTCTCTCTACTGGAGTATTTGTCTTTTTCTTTTCTGTCCAAGGTTGGCATGTAGTCCCCAATGTCTCCATATATACTACAAATGGATGAAAAATAATAAAAACAAGTATGATTTAATCACATCCATTCTTCAAATAAGTTACTATAAGTTAATGTTTTCCTTTCCTGAAAATGTATTTGTGATAGATAATCACCTCTTCACACAGAATAGCTTGTTTCCTCATGCATTTTCCTTTGTGCTTTGCATGACACTAGCCTTGAGCTAACTCCCACCTAAAAAACATATGTTTAATGTAAGTAGCACTAGTAAATGATGGCTTCATCTTGTGACAATATCCCTCCACCACAGGAGTGCAACACAACCTACCTTGCACAGTAGCTCCCGCTAAGCACTTGCTCTTGAAGTACTTTATTTTTAGATGAGGCAAAAATACAGTGCGCTGGAAGTAAGGAGTACGGGTGGGAAGGCATGCGGAGGCGAGTATCTATAAGAAATACATTCTCAGGTAAGGAAAGTGTTAACATCCTAGATGATACCTCACCTCGACACACAGAATAGCTGGAATCCCATATGAAGATTGTGGAGGATCTGGTGCAAACATGAAACCTAAATGAGCTCACTTCAGAAAGCACCTGGAGGTAAAGCCCATAAAGTGTGAAACCTGATGGCAGGGAATCCATAGGGCACACCTGTTGGAGGTTGCATTTCATCTCGACCAGGATTTACTGTATGCACGAAATGAAAGGCAAAAGAACCCCAAGTGTTGTAGGGATGAGAAGAATTTTAGCTTGACCAACCAAGCACCCATACACAAGTGGTAGGCAAGCAAAGAAGTGCAGTGTGATTAGGGTGCAATCAGACCCTAATATGTATGTATGTGTCACCTCATCTCAACTGGACAGATAAAGACAGGGGTGACAAACCCATTCTGCTGCAGGAAGAGGGCATATTATCTCTTTGAGGAATGAACCACACTACACAGACAGTACAGTCACCACCGTACTCCAACTGTATTGTGCTATACGCAATCAATGAGGAACTCTCCAAGGTTCCCCATCCCAGCAACTAGAAAATGGTAAGTGTTAAAAGTCTCCCATGCTCTATTTAACTCTTCCAACATGGGGTCGGTCGATTTGACCGAGTTACATGACCTTCTGTACTCATTTAAAGTTGACATAAATTTAATACTTATAACTCTCTATATATTGTGTATATCTTCACAAAATTTGGCAGTCTTTCAGTTAATATTACAAGTCTTTCATATACAAAAAGTCATATTTCTTAGTGAAGTACTTTTACTAAAATAAAATAGTTTTGTCCATGAATATACTGAGTATTTGTTTTGAATAGTCCATGTGCAAAGTAATTTTCATGTTAAAATTAAAAATACTTTTCATCATCTCAAAAATCTCAAATTTCCTTTGTGTAATCCCTAAAACTTCCTAAATGTATTTCATGCATTTTTTTTCACTAAATCCTTATAGCTTATCTGTTATTTTCTCTACCCTAATCTCAAAACTGGATCTGTTAATTCGACTGACCTCGTAACCACAAAAAAAACAAAAAACGAAATAAACCTAAATTAACCTTCTTTTCTTTCTAGTATGATTTCAGATTGTAACTTTAAACTACATTTGTTTATCCTGAGTAGCTCTAAGTTCGTAACATCATACATCTATTTATGATTAAATTTTATTGTTTTATTGCCCTTTATATTTCAAATTGAACTGTGTTTAACTGCTATCTGTGCCATTATAAGTTGTAAATCACTCTGGGAATGTGCAGCTCATGTTACACCATCGAATTACATTCCTAACAAGCTGCTCGCATGTGAAAACTTTTAATTATATTATTATTACTTATTTTACCTATTCTTGTCTTAAATAACTTAAAAAGATCCATACTTTCAATTTTAGTTACTTTTATAGTAATAAATAAAGAATGAATATGAAAAACAAGAAATAAAGTACTTATCCAATTTTAGTTTTTTCTTGCCCTCGATTGTCGAGTAAAGTTAAGCCTGATTTTTTTAGCGATTATGGTAAAGGACTTAATTTTTAGTTACTTAAATAATACACCAAAGAATATAGTCTAATAACATGCGAAAAGTAGACAAATTCATTTACTTCTAAAAGTTTTCCTGGCTTTCTAACTATGCGACAAAAGCTGTTACAAATTCATCTAAGCTAGTCATTAACTTTCCCATGGGAACGAAATTGCTACTCCGAGTGGCATTGACGACTGTTCAAAACACAATGTTATACAAAACGCCATTTGATATATGAAAACCTTGACTTTCTATTGGTTATAAATAATATATAATGAAACATAAAGTAGAACTGTCAACCAACTGTGAAAGGGAAGATGTGACAGGTTGGTGTGGCAGGATGGTTCTGATTTTCTCTTTGATAGCTCTGTAACAAAACAAAATTGAAGGCCATAAAAATTATGGTCTGTTTAAGTAATAACGATTTTATAGATAGCATTTTACATTTAAATTCTTACATTTTAGAGGGGTGATGGATAAAATAGGGATGATGATGTGCTAAGACAAAATTTGTTATGTATGTTACACTAGTGGAAATTCAGGATTTTTTTATATATTTCCTTTTTGAATTAAAAACTTAAAACTTGTATACTATTAAAATACGAATTATTAGCTAAGATTTTATACTATTCTAATTGGTATAACATAAACAAGAAGTAGTTTAATAAAATTTTGAATGTAAGACACTAAAACCTTGTGTCATGCGCAGTAAAAGGTCCCCATGCCGATAGGTTTACAGGGGGGGGGGGACTTCACATTGGGGAGAACTGGAGAAGTGCCCGAATTCCCAACAGATACCTGATGGAAAGGTGTTTTACTAAAAATAGTGATGGGTGACTAGAAAACCCTATATTTAAAAGCTGACAAGCATGAACCAAAGAAGTAGGCAGTCACTTCTTACATGCCAGCTTTTACCTTGATAGAATAGAATGGTCTGAATCAGAGAATTGAGTAATTTTGTGGTCTTGGGGAACACTCCATCTCAACAGTGGACAATGGTAGAGATGGGTTGAGCACTTTCCGTTACCTCCGACTTAATGCAAATTTTAAGAAATAAGCATACCCTGGAAGACAACATCAACCACCTGGCAGGATCAAAAAAAAGAGTGAAGAGGATGATTAAAAAGAAAATATACTTATACTTCTCAAAGACAGTGTGTATTGAAGAAAAGCATCTGGAGGGAGTCAAAATCCTGCAGGAGATGTGTGTATGTTCACCCCATGCCAGCCTGAAGATCTTGTCCAAAGGTTGGCAAAATTGAGAGGCAAGAGAGTGAGACAGATAATGAATTTGATGTACCAAAATGTGAAAAGGCGTGCAAACATCAATATCTAGAGATGAATAGAAGACCCATTCAGGTCAGAGTAGAGGAGTAAATAAGTACTATGAAGAGAGTGCAGGAAACATCAATGGCATATGCACCAAAATGACAGCGACCACAGGACGAGAAGAAAGAATTATGTCTTCAGAGAAAGATGGTATAAAGAACGAGGCAAACGGAGCAAATATGAGAGCACGTAAAGGCGTGGTGAAGGCACCAATGGGAGGTTTGCCCAACTGTGAGTAAACCTAACAAAAAACTGAGGGTGGAGAGACCCCTCTGTGAGTAGAATCTGGTCAACCAAGAGAGGTGATCAGCCACCATATATAAAGTGTCCAGCATATAACAAGCTATGAGATGTACCCTATAGAAATGACCCCGAAAAACAGATCCAAAGCATAGAAGCAAAGAGTCTTGGAACAGGGGCTCTACTGACAACTGCTACAACAAATGACCAAGAAATTGTTGAAGTGGATCATGACTGACCAATCCACAAGAATAGGAAGGAAATGTGGAGATGCCTGATGAACTTCAAATGTTTCATTACGTTGATGTGTAGTAAATGCTCCTCTGGAGCCCAATGCCCAAAGTCATGTTATCATTCAGAGACTCGCCCAAGTCCAACAGAGAAACATCTGTGAAAAGATGTAGACAACAGTCAGGGGAGTAGCAAGGAGATGCCCACCATGGTATTGGTATGGAAATGCCACCACGATAATTGCTTGAGATGAGGTGAGAGGAAGCACACTACCAAAGACAACAGAGCCTGAGAAAGGTTCCACTGATCTCACAGTGTCCACTAGAGCAGTCTTATGCTTGTGCAGCCTAAAGATATGAGTTGTTCTGGTAAAGAACCCCGAGTATAGAGTGTAAATGAGAATGGTAAACTTTGGTTACATTGCTCACATGAAGACTGAGCCAGACCGAGATGAGAGGTGAAGAAAATGCTCAGATGTAATAAATGCTAAGTGTGAGAAATGGTTTGGAATTATTGACTAACAGCCTCTTGAAGAAGAATGGAGGTGTGAGAGGAGTCCTCCCAAGATGGGACAAGGAGAAGTCAATCGTTTATATAATGATGGAACCTAAGCCACAATCCATGAATATGGTGGGCAAATGCTCCCATGACTCGAATGAAGACATAAGGTGGAGATGCAAAGTCAAAAGGAAAAGCACAGAACTGGAAGACTCGATTTCAATGGTCAAACAGAAAAATGTCTGGAGAACGAGGCAATTTAAATGTGTAAAAAAGCATTTGACACATCAATCTTGGTCACTCACAGGGTGAAAAAGGCTACCAGAGAGAAAAGAAACCCTCCACTGAGAACTAGAAACCCATAAAAAATGGCAGGTTGATAACTGGACACCAGTCTCCAGTCTTGTCAGAGCCCACTAAAAGAGAAAGAGAGAAGAGTAATAAACCTGAGTAGGGGTAAATACTTTCTCAGTGACATTCTGGGCCAAGAGATTAGAGATTTCATCTAGGAAACACTGTAGATAAATTGGATCAAAGTGAAGCAGTAAGGAAACAGAAAAGGGGGAGATGGGAGGAAGAGTGAAGAAATTGGCTGTGGGTAAGAACCTGAAGAACCCATCAATCCACCAAAAAATGGAGACCAAAGGCTGGCAAAGTGAGACAGACAATCACCCACTGGGCCATACCTGACAGGATAGTCACCAATGAGACAAGTGATTTGACATTATGAAGTGAGAGAATGAGAAGGAGGAGGTCAAAAAGCATGAATGGGAAGGGGAGACATAGATTGAGAATATCTAGGAACAGGAACAGAACGGTGAAGTTGAGAATGACGAGAAACCATAGAAGTTAACAACGATGACTCCCTCAGCACGGGTCTCCAGAATCAGAAGCACTACTGAAGAAGGCAATAAAAGTGGGTCCAACAAAGATTACATAGAAGAGTGAGGGAGATGAACATTAGTTAGGAGAGCATCCCAACCCAACAAGTACCAATCGCAGAAGAAATAAGTAAGGACGAATAAAGCAGAATTAGTAGTACAAGCTAATCTGGTGAAAAGAGAATAAATCTCTTTAGACAAACCCCTCCAGAGTACAATGAATTGCCTCAGACATAAGGTGTAGGAAGGCAGTAAGAAAGACGAAGGCCAGAAAATTGGGCACTAGAACATGAAATAGAAGCTAAAGGATCACACTCCCTCCAAGCAGGTAAGACAGATTCCAACGAATGAATGGGAATCAAATAATGGAAATGAAGAAAGGCAATAAGCCAGGACAAGAATCAAGTAGGAGAGGAGAACAAGGCATGCGAGTACAAGTGCATAGTTGCTCAAGAAACATGTCTGCATGGACCATAATAACAGATGATGGAGAGAAGATAAAGTACTCTTAAATTTAGGTTTCATGTAGTAAAGAACATGAAAAATTGAAAGAAAAGAACATATCAGCAAAACTATGTCAAGGAAGAGATTAGAAGGGTGAGGATTTTCCTCCATGGGTAAGCAGTACCTAGAGAAAACCCTCATCAATATCGTTGTCATTCTGGTTATGTTCAAACTGACAAGAAGGAAGATCAGCTGAATGGATAAGAGTTCAAGTTCAAGTATGTATGAGGGAACACACAATTCATGGAACAATGGTTTTCAGGTCATCCACAGACAACAAACCTCCAGAAGCAACAGGTTCAAGTGTTAGTAACATTGTCACTAGCATAGGACAAATTAGAAGTTACATTTATTTGAAAATTCACAATGGGTAAGGAGAAAAAATGTTTTGCTCTTTTTCTTTAGTAATCAAAGAAACTAGTTAAACTTTAATAATTTTAAAAACATCTGTTTGAGACAATACTGAGGAAAAGAATGAAGATTTTTCAAGCACAAGCACATGTAACCATTTCTGTTAACTTTAGAATTAGGTATAGCTCAGAGAAATTTTGAGCACATAAACGTGTGAGCTGACTCTGCAAACGAGAGCCTACTTGCCTACGTATGTGGTTATCGACTAGTCGTCAATCATCTGAAGTCTAATAAATGTGTTTGTACAAGTAGTAAATATAAATATCATTTATGATATTTCATTATTTATTGAAAACTAAAATGCTGTATCAATATTTATTGTGATGTTTAATTATGCCACCATATGTACAAAAAAAACAAACATTTCTTATCACAAATTCACTAAAACATCCCAGGTACTAAATCACTATCTTTAAGCCTCATGGTGATCTGGTAATGTAGCTTTGACAAGTCTTTATTTTAATTACTAATTTTGTTGAATAAATAATATGTAAATCATAATATGTTCATAAAATTAAAAATCAAAAACAGTTACCTCTCGTCACCCATCTTTCCATGAGCTTTCTCATCATCTCGTAGCTTAATTTTTTCCTTCTTTTTCCCTTTCCTGTGATGAGGTCCTTGCCGGAGGTATGAAAGAATCTGAGTCAGTTTGTTGATCACTATATCATTAGTGGTAAGTGTAGTCTGGGTCTGATAAAAATAAGATGGTAGTATTGTACTCTATAGTCATCCTAGTACTTAGATCAGTAGTCTAATGAGTTAGTAGAGTATCTTCCTAACATTTTTCACACTTAGTTCAGTGGTGTAATGAATTAGTAGAATATCCTGCAAACATTTTTCACACTTGATAAGTGGTCTAATGAGTTAGTAGAATATCTTTCTAGCTTTTTTCACACTTAGACTGATAGTCTAATCAGTTAGTGTGATATCTTTATAACATTTTACATACAATTTGTATAGTTCTAATACACAACAAGACTATACTTGTATATGTATCTAGTTTATAGAAATGTAAGAAAAGTTACAAAAGTTTCCAAAATTAATGTATTTTACACAATACTTAAACAAGCTGATATTTCTGATTTCATAAGTAGTAAAGAAATGTTGACATAAAAGAAGTTATAAGTTTAGTTGCTAAATTAGCTATGCAATTTCACAAATTTTATATGTATGGTGATTTTAACTGTCAACTACTTATCACATTGGAATTATATTTATATAGGAATTGAAAAATAAGTAGTTTTTATTCTTATGAATTATTCAGCAGGCAGTTTGAGATTCTAACAATGAATATTTTCTGAATTTCTTAGTACACATACCTCAATGATTGGGCAGTCAGCCTTGCTACGAAGTCGAGTGGTAGGAATATCACTCTCTGCGTATTCATCTTCCAAGTCAATAACGTATGCCATACGTCCCGGAAGGAAGAGATCATTCTTTTCAACTTGATATCCACGAAACAAGAGACGATACAAGTTTCTCCCTGTAGAGAAAACATTAATTACTAGATTTATTAAGTTAGCAAATAAACAAAGATTGGATGGGGGAGGCTGACAAAAATAAACAATGAAAAAATTAAGTTCTTGAAACAAAAACATCTAAAGACAGTAAAGCAAAATTAAGAGCTGTGATACAGGACATATAATGTCAAGGAAAACAGAAAGAAGTGAGAAGAAGGCAAAAAAATCAAGTCTAGAAATTAAAAAAACAAGGTTACCCTATTAAACTAAAGAGAAATCTAGGCTTCCATGGGAAGAACAAAAATTTTATTGATTAGACTAAGATGCTTTCAGAGACAAATAAAGAATGAGAAAGACATTAAGAAGACATGGGAGCATAAAACAACAATTAAATGTAATATAAACTATTGTAACATGTTTATATCTACAACCCAAGTAAGATTAGGCAATAGGAAATAAAGGTTACTTAAAAAAGTGTAAAAGAAACCCATACAAGCAAAAATTAAGATATAAGGAGAATTAAGATTGCTTTATATCATTAGAAGAGATCAGAGGAAGAAGCATGAATAAAAGAGCTCCACAAGAAAAGAAATAAAGGAAATGAGCAAATATATAGAAGGGTAAAGTTGTGATAGTAAAAGATTACTTAGGAACTTTGGTATAATAGATACAAAACTATAGCACCAAACTCAGTAATGGAAGCCTAAAGTAAAGTGGCTCAAAAGGAATACAGAAAGTTCATGTATGGAAATATAAAGTGGCTTAAGATGAAAAAATGTACCCAGTAACCTTGATGGGATAGAGAAATACAGAAATATGGTGGAACAAGAGATCTGCAAAGCCATCATGAACCAGACTTGGAAAGGGTACTAATAAAACATTGTATAAGATTATATTCAGTGCATACCAAAATAGAAAATGCAACTCACCCATTCTGGTCTTGAACTGCATATCTTCTTCGTCCTTTATTCTGAAAGTAAACTTTTATGTAATGACTTTCATCATTCACTGTAAAAAGAAAAGCCTAGACCTATAATTGTATGTTCTAGACTTACTCATGAGAATGCTTACAGGACTCTGAAACACATTAGACCTGCAAATATGCCACTTCACACAAACACCTTTAGTTATATGTTCGAGACTTACCCATGGGAATACTTAAATATCTATCAGACCCTGAAATACATTAGACATACAGATATACCAGTTCACACAAGCACAATACAATCAACTTCAATAAATTATTCCATTTGTAAAATAGAAGAACACAAACTCATTCATTAACTCCTTTCTTTTGGTGACCCTTTTCTGAGCATGTCACAAGATTTTACTTAGTTACATTAACAATTTAATTAAGCTATTTTATGATCAATGTTTGTCAATGAAATCAGCATTAAAATGTACATTATAGTTCAAAGTTTTATATTACCTAACTTTTAATTCCTTTATTTCAAAGGAATTAAATTTTAAAGTTTTGTTTTATTGTCTTATGCTCCACAAATTCAGAAATGTTAAATTTGTGTACTTCTAATTTGAATAGTTCTTGACTTACATTTAACTTATAAGTGAAAATGTAAAGACAAGCAAAAAAAAAGATGTTTTAAGATTACTTCACAAAATATTAAAAAGTAGGTACATTTATGTCTTAATTTTAAACATTTTATTGTAATGTACCACAGATTATATAGTATAAGCTAATGACAGTAGCTACAGTTAGTACTATCATAGAGAAAGTGAAAGAAATATATATATAATCATTTAACTTAAATTAAAAAGAACTTTTCATGTTCACTATGGTGGTCCTAGGGGTTGTGCAAATGAAATTTGAAACCTATATGTTGGAAAAAAGTATTTTTTTATACTTCTGTTGTTTTATTGATTATGAGAGAAGGCTAACTAGAGATAAAGTGAACATATGACTTCAAAGTGACAAGTGACAACTTTACATTTCATATACACACAATTATACAAAACTTAAACCATACGTTGTTTTCATGATAACTTTTTCCATTTCTTCCTCTTCCTTCTCTTTGCTGGTGATTTCACTTCTCACCTATTGACACAAAAACAAAGGTAAATACCAATACTATACAATGTCACAAGAAAGCTTACATTAATGGTAATATTAAATTAAATGTAATTTTTGCTACTAATTTCCTCAGTTCCAAAAACTAAAATCTTTTTTCTCAACTTCCTTATAAAGGAAGCTTCATGTAAAATTAAAAATAAATTAGAATAAAAAAACCTTTTCAGCAAATTAAATAGAAAAACGCTACCAAAAGTTATTTTCATAAAGAGTTTTCACATTACACATTTTATTCAAACAATCACTTTCACACAATAAACTTCTTTACAACTAAATGACAACACAAAGAGCACAACATCAAGACCAACATACACAAACCTAATATACTCCAAAAAAACATAATCAAGATCAATATATAGAAACATAATCTACTCCAACAAAAGATAATGAAGATGTGTACCTAAAAACCTAACCTTTTCCAATAAAATATAATCAAGCTCCAAATACAAAAACCTAATGTCCTGAGACAAAAAAAATCAAATTCTTTGTATAAAAACATAACATTAGGAAAGAAAATATAACCAACACCAACATAAAGAAACCTAACCTTTTTATATTAAAGATCTAGCATTATGCACCAAATTTGTCAATATAATTAAATATGATAACAATAAATATATAATAAATCAAACTTTCTGCAGTAAAACTTAACCAAAACCTATACAACTTTACTAATCTTCTGCATCAGACTTTAAACTATATATATACCCTACTAACCTTCTGTAACAAAGTTTAACCTAGACCTATGAATTATACTAACATTCCATAACAAACTTTAACCTAGACCTATATACCTTACAAACCTTTTGTAACAAAGTTTAACCTAGACCTATGAACCATACTAACCTTCTCTAATAAAGTATAACCTACACCTATATGCCCTACTAACCTTCTCTAACAAAGATTAAACTAGATGTATCACTCAACTCACCATCTCTAACAAAGTTTCACCTAGACAAATACCCCCAACTAACCTTCTGTAACAAAGTTTAACCCGTTACCTGCCGTGGCCATTTTGTCTTATCGTGAGGGCAAAATCACATTTCTGAATTGAAAAAAATTATAGAGAAATTATCTTTTCAGATTTTATTTTTGTAAATAGTAGCATAAAATTCAATTATATGTACAAAATTGTATTATTTAATGTAGTTTAAAGAGGAATTTAATGAAAAAATTCCTAAAATACGTTTTAGATTGTAAATAAGTGCTTTCTAAGAAAATTTTTTTCCAAAAATTTTTTAAGATATTTCCTTCTACTTCAGCACTGGTCCTGCCATCTATGATTGGTATCTAAACTTTTTTCTAGTCTGTTTTCTTTATAAAACTGCGGCTGGGCGTGTTAAACCTCGGTTGTAAAACTTTTAGCCAATCCTAGTCGAAGGTGTTAATTTCAGTACCAATTATTCCAATTGCTGTATCTCACATTAGACAAATCATAGGATGATAAGGAAAGCACGTGATGAAACGTTGTCCTCTGGAATTTACAATATGAATGTGGGTGGTGCTTATTATAGTAACTGCCATTTTATGTAGAGGTTGTATTTAGTACTGGCCAATAGTGCTTTTCTATAAGCGTTAGAAAAATTGCTTCTGGAAAAAACTGCATGGGATGTACGTAACTTTTATTATTTCTGTATAGTAGCTTAAGTCATGCTGTATCGTATATCTATTTACATTAATCATTATATTGAAAAATTAACTCAAAATAGAAATATTTTTAGGAAAGAAGTTGATCCACGATTGTTAGGGTTAAGAGCTATCGAGTGGCGAGTGCAAGGTCTTTACATGAATTAGAATTAGGACTTTGAACTGAAAGAGTTTGTGATTTTTTATATTCTTTTGAATTTAAATTTGTAGTTTTAAGTTCAATAATTTAGCATAATTTTATATTTAGTTCATAATAATAATAATATGATTCAGTATTTAGAATGGTAAACTTGTGTGATTTGTACATAATACTACTAGTACTAGTACCACATAAGAATTTTGTATTTTTCCTTCTTACAATCTTTGCTTTGTAGTAAGACCTACACTTCTGTTGTTATTGCGTTAGAACGAAAACAGTCTAACATATATATATATATAGTTTATTCTGATATCTTGCAAATGGTTCAAACTCAGTGTACATGTGACAACAATAAAACCCATATGTTGGTTGTGAAACAGGCTAAATACATTCATCTCAATAATACAGGGAAGTTATGACATTCTCACAGTTGGGGTCTCAATACACTGAAGAGCTAAAGTTTCGAATTCCAACATAAATCTTGCCTATAATGAGAGGAATGTGACCAAGACTAATCTTTTAAGTGCTGTAAAGTAATTTTCTTTGTGTAATTTTCTTTGTAATTTATGGTGTCTGCATCATTTGGTAATCTCTTCTAACAGGATGTATCAAGTAACAAGGGGTCAGGCTCAGGCTCAGGCGATGTTTATTGAAACCACCTGTACTATAAACTGTTACATACATTCACTAGTAGTGGCAATTAGTTTTGTCTCTATAGTGAAACAATATACACAAACATATGTTGAAATAAACTTGTTTGAAAGTTCAAATAAATGATATTCAAATACCGAAAAGCTTTCTTACTATCATATCTACAGTAATGTTCAAATGCGCCTGCGCTGAACGAGAATGACTCCCAACAGGGGTGAGATAGTTTACAGAAAACGTACAAAGTTCACGCTGCTGACCCCACGGTTTAATCAGTCTATACACCCTATTCACCTTCTGTAACAATGTTTAACCTAGACCTATATATACCCTACTTACCTTCTGTAACAAAGTTTAACCCAGACCTATACACCCTACTAACCTTCTGTAACAAAGTTTAACCCAAACCTATACACCCTACTAACTTTCTGCAACAAAGTTTAACCCGGACCTATATACCCTACTAACCTTCTGTAACAAAGCTTAACCTGGACCTATATACCCTACTAACCTTCTGAAACAAAATTGAACCTAGACCTATATACCCTACTAACCTTCTATAACAAAGTTTAAACAAAATATATACTTTTTACTAACCTTCTATAACAAAGTTTAAACAAAATATATACTTTCTACTAACCTTCTATAACAAAGTTTAAACAAGATATATACTTCCTACTAACCTTCTGTAACAAAGTTTAAACAAGATATATACTTCCTACTAACTTTCTGTAACAAAGTTTAACCTAGACCTATTATATTCTACTAACCTTCTGCAGCAAAGCATAGTCAAGACCTTTCACCAAATGTGTATGTTCCATATCACCACCCAAGAATTTGGACTCCTGAATCATCTGGCGACGACGTTCAGCAGCATCCATACCTCTAAAAGAAAATAATTAAGACTTAAATACACATGGAAATGTATTATGCAAACCATAGCAGTAACAGCAAAGAGTTGTGTACATTTACATTATCATTCAGCCATTCTACACAACCCTTTAACCTTATCACTATGGGTCATGTGTCAAAGGCCATGTCATTGTGTTTGTGCATTCTAGATTTTATTGAATACTATTTCATGAATTTATGTCACTAAGTTTGGTATCAAACTGTAGATTATAATCAAATTTTAGTATTATAGATTATTCAACTTCTTAATTTATTTGTTTGTGATGACAAAATACAAAGTCTATAGTTTTGTACGAATTAGGAACTTAAATTACCAATATTAACAAGATAGAATATAAAATAAGAACCTCGTATCTTTTCTATTTGCTCATGTACTAAATCAAGACCCCACTCACCTCTTTCTATTTTTGGAAATAGTCCCTTATATATACACTTACTTTTGTACATGACATGTGACTAATCAATCGAAAACTGAGAATGTTCCCTTAGTGGCTTTCTGAGCCACTTTCAAGCGTTAGGATGTGATCTCATTCATTCAAAAGTAGATTCCAAGGAGGAAGATTATGTCTTTAGTCTGCTCGGAATTTCATATTTTTTATACCAAAATACAGTTTAGTTACTAAGCTTGATAAATTATAGTGGAATTCTATGATATTGATATGACAATTTATGATTCTTTTGGTTATTCAACTGTATATATAAAACCTAAAAAAAATTATTTTGTTTCATATCCTCCAGGTGTGAAAATTTAAAAGGTTTAGCAACCTACATAAAGCAGCAACTGAGTACAAAGGTCGTAGCTATAAGAGATATTTAATTGCTTTACTTCATAATTTACTATTCTATGTTTTAAGAAAGATAAGTTTAAGAACAGACTATATTTTACAAAATACTAGTCCAATAAAACACAGCCAACACAGGTCACTTTGTAAAGGCAAATTTTATATTCTTGGATACAGTAACATGAGTGCACATGTGTTGTGTCATTGTAATTTCTGTATTTTTAGTCAGGCACGACTGGAAGTCAATATAATAAAAATAATAAATATATATATATAAATGTATAATGTTAAGACATTTAAGCTATTTAGAATAAACATCTGTGTTTTCCTGTTATAATTTGTAGTCGTTCTAAAATGAAAAAAGCATAATCTATACTTATTTCCTAATTTTTTATGGTGGTTACGAGGTCGGTCAAATTGACAGACCCCATATAGACAATCTTCATCTCAGTAAACATCTCAGAGACTGATAATGTTTATTTTTCAAGGAAAATTAATGCATTTTGGAAAGTAACAAAATATCTGTGGGTGCTAATTGATCACCAATACTCAGTAATAAAAATGGCATGTATAAAACTATAGTTATGAACAGTTGCCTATTTCAACAATATATATATATGCTGTTATACCATACACACACAAATATACAAGAATAATTACTCACCTGCACAAATCATGTGCATAAGTAACTTGCTGCTCATAGCCAACCACAATGTCAATGTAAGTGTGTGTCTGTCCACAAATGTATGTGAATAAAATTTGTAAAATTCCAGACAATATATAATCATGGATTAAGAATACATGGTACACAGATAAGCACATGAAGATTTGTGGATAGAGCAGACATATATAACAGTAGGTATTGCATACACAAGTCAACACAAAAGAGACATGAACATAATGAAGTCTGAACAGTTATCCTGGTTGACTAAACCAATTCAGGAGATAAATGTTATGCAAAAACAAACATAACAGACAAGTGAGCATTAATATCTGTATACAGTGTATAACACACATGTGAGTGTTGATGACTGTACAGATGAGAAGTGGGTGCTGATGTCTGTACACATGGTATAACAGGGAAGTGGGTGTTGCTGTCTGTATACATGGTATAGCAGAGAAGTAGGTGTTACATTTGTATATCTGGTATAGCAGAGAAGGTGTGTGTTGATGTCTACATACATAGTACAGCACAAAAGTTGGTGTTATATTTGTATATCTGGTATAGCAGAGAAGGTGTGTTGATGTTTATATACATGGTATAGCACAGAAGTTGGTGTTATATTTCTGTATGTGATATAATAAAGAAGTGGGTGTTGGTGCCTGTAGACAGGGTATAACAGAGAAGTGAGTGTTGATGTCTGTATAGTTTATATAACAGAGAAGTGGGTGTTATATTTGTATATCTGGTATAGCAGAGAAGGGGTGTTGATGTCTATATACATAGTACAGCACAGAAGCTCATGTTATATTTCTGTATGTGGTATAATAAAGAAGTGGGTGTTGATGTCTATATACTTCATGTAACAAAGAAGTGGGTGTTGAAGCCTGTATACAATGCATAACAGAGAAGTGGGTGTTGATGCCTGTATACAATGTATAACAGAGAAGTGGGTGTTAATGCCTGTATACAATGTATAACAGAGAAGTGGGTGTTGATGTCTGTATATATAATGTAACAGAAGTGGGTGTTGATGCCTGTATACACAGTATAACAGATAAATAGGTGTTAATGTCTGTATACATGGTATAACAGACAAGTGGGTATTCAAGTCTGTATACATAGTATAACAGACAAGTGAGTGTTCATGTCTGTACACACAAACATATATAACGTAATTTTATCTAAAACTCACGATTTGACATCAGGAGCTACAGCTCTATATCCTGCAGTTGATGATATAGGATCTTCACTCTGGTAGTCTTCGGCATTTCCTTCTCTTCTTTCCTTTGCCTAAGTAAAACAGATAGAGATTTTAAAAAAATATATTGTTTCTCCACGCTACAAGTAAATGGTGTAACTATTTCATAGTCGAGTTCAGAATTTTTACATAAAAGAAATGATAATTGAATAAACATGAATGGTATACCAACAAACACTGACCACACTGTCCTTTGAAATAAATAATGCCCCAAAAGAGTAAAACAGTTTTAATGCAAGTCAAGCAGAAAAACTGATAATAACAATAGGCAGGATATAAGTCCCACAAGAAAAAAAACTAAATCAACTATTAGTCTACTAGACTGTGACGAACAGGTGTTAAAACAACACCAAAAACTAAAATAAAGTATTAATCTATTGCACTACTTTATATCCACTGTTAAAGTACAGACTATTTCCACTATTAAACTATACATTTATAAATATACAGAATAGGATGGACCACATTTTAAACTGTACATGCAATATTAAACTACAGAGTTATAAATATCGTGTTCAAGATGGACCATATTTGAAACTCCTGTAGGCCCACTACTGTATCTGGATTTATAAATATACAGTACATGATGATCCACATTTCAGACTGCACAATTTCCACTATTATATTTTCAGACTTATAAATATACAGTTCATGACGATCCACATTTTAGACTGTACTACTTCACTGTTATATTTACAGATTTATAAATATACATTTCATGATGAACCACATTTTAAATTGTACATGCACTATTAAACTACAGATTTATAAATATCATGTTCAAGATGGACCATATTTCAAACCCCTGTATACCCACTACTGTATCTACAGATTTATAAATATACAGCACATGATGATCCACATTCTAGACTGCACTATTTCCACTATTATATTTACAGATCTATAAATATACAGTACATGATGATCCACATTATAGACTGCACTATTTCCACTATTATATTTACAGATTTATAAATATACAGCACATGATGATCCACATTATAGACTGCACTATTTCCACTATTATATTACAGATTTATAAATATACAGCACATGATGATCCACATTATAGACTGCACTATTTCCACTATTATATTTACAGATTTATAAATATACAGCACATGATGATCCACATTATAGACTGCACTATTTCCACTATTATATTTACAGATTTAATATAAAGTTCAGGATGATTCGCTGTTATAGTCATAACTTATTACCAAATAAAGCTAAGTTGGAAGTTCCTATACTTTACTGAAATAACAAACACACAAACAGCCAGAATAGTTGATTTTATGTTAATATAATGTAGTTATAGTTCCCAGTGCAATCAATTAAAAGAAAATCTAATTTAGAAGGATTATTGTAAACCATACAAAATGAACAAATTCAATTTACTTACTCGATCTCTGTATTTTCTAGAAAGTTCAGCAAGTTTGTCTTCTTCCTGCTTCTTAAGGTCAGCATAGTATCTGAACATCAGAAAAATAATCATTACATTTGTTGGTTTTATGGGGCCAAGTTATTTACAGTAGGTGTCTGTGACTTGTTGTTGATAAATGTCAACAATAAATGGACAGCACACAATTCATTAGTTTTAACCCATACACTGTAGCTAGGAAGTGTATTTCCCAGAGCTCCCACCCACTCACACTGTTTACGTCTTCCTCTGCTGGGTCCAGGTTCTTCATCTTGACTATCATCACTAGATGGACAGCTAGTATCCTCTTGTCCCGTTGCCTCTTCATCATCACGAGTTTGAACCCAACTCGACTCACTTTCACTTTCTTCTAAGCTATTTGAATCAAGTGCATCAAGCATATTTACATAGTAATTATGGTTACTTCTCATCAATTTAGCAACATGGGTACAGTCGGCACGCAGTTGCTGTACATTCCACTGAGGCATCTTGTTGTTTACTGAAGGGCTGAGTGGAAAACATTTAGGGAAACTATATATCAACATTAGGTGGGATGCCAAAAATTACTTTCCAAGTAATTTTACTATCATACATCATGCATGGCCATTTTGAATGACAATGGGAAAAATTTGTCCCAGCCACAGAGTAAGGGTTAGAATAATATATTCAAAACGAGTCAAACGGATGTACAAAAATTCTTTACACTATAGGATATCACAGTTGTATCTAAAACTCTAAATAATTCTCTTTTCTTGTCAAAAGTCCACACAGGCTGGTTCAGTTATTTTAGAATCCAATTGACAAGACAAGTGTTTCTTCTCTATCTCTCTTTCTCACAATAGAATCTGTGATAAATTCTCTGTTACCCTGTTGGTTACCACGGTTGTATCCAAACTTTAAATAATTGTCACCTTTTCGTAAAAGTCCACACTTCAATTACTTTAGAACACCCTCTGACAAGACAAACTATTCTCCTTATCTCTGTTAAACTCTGAAACTCACTTTAAATATTGCCCATTACAGCTAAACTAACAATCACATAGTCTAACTTCATGTTCACTAACTTAACTTTTTATTGACTTACTTCTGTATCTGCACGTATTTATAACATGTGACAGAAAAATCTAGAAATATCTAGTGCTCTAGTAGCAACAATATTACACATAAGAAAAACTTAGAAGGTTTGAGTATGATGACATCAACAATATTACACATAAGAAAAATTTAGAAGGTTTGAGTATGATAACATCAATAATATTATGAAAGCCTAGCATAACAATTAAACTGCATACACAACATATGACTCTTACTGAGTTAAGTAATGAAATTTGTCGTAACTATTGCTTTTAAAATAATTAACAATCAACACTCTTCTTATGAAAACTATATAATCATCAAATATTAAGTCACAAAAAAAACTAAATAATAACTCTTAAACTAAACAGTCTTGTATATCCAAAAACATTTGTGTTTTCTTTGATCAGCAGATAACTTAGTATTATCAGCCCTTCATGTTTGACAAGCACCACCACAGTGATGCTAGAATGCCCTCACAAAATGAGTTTTTCAAGGATTTCTTAGAGCCCCCATCAAAATCTATCATGATGCCTGTTGTTCAGGATGCATTACTTGACTTTTTATAATTACCATGAAATAAATACTTTTGAATTCAGTTATTATTTATCACAGCAATGGTCACATACAATCAGCTGTTTTTTGTACACACAGAAAAGCTCAAAAATAAGTGTGTGTGACTCAGTTGTCTGATACAACTCTGATACTTTAATTGTAATTGACCTAGACTAGTAATGTTACATGCATAGTAATAATTCACTTTCAAACTAGTTTGTTGCATATAGATATCAAATACTTGCAACAGAGAAACTAAGTCAATGTTTTAAAGTTTAAATTACAAAATTGGATATTAAAAAATTCAGACTAGAAAGAAGAGTTTTAGCAAATTTGATTTCGACCTAAGTTGCATTTGATGAACTACTTTCTGTATGACACAAGGCTTCAAAGGTTGTCATAGGTTATTGGCATGCTGTGAACGTCTCCATTTATCTAGCAAAACTCTGGTGTGTTGATAGAAAAACAGTGCAATTCAGACAATACAAATTAAAATTAACATCTGTTGTCCAATTTTGCAAACAAAGAATCAAGATGAGGCATCAGCTACTACAGCCATGAACTGTTTGGTAGGGTTGTTTACAATGCTCCTGTATTTTTCAAATGTGAAGGACTGGTATAATGGATATCCATAAGTGGCAACCGATAGAAGTGGACATACTGTTTCTATGTATAAAATGAAATAAAGCTCTTACCCCTTTCCAGACGGGTCACAAGTGAAAGGCCATGTCACTGCGTTTGTTGACTCGCATTCAAAATGTTATTAACTACTATTTTATAAATTTATTTCAATAAGTTTGGTATCAAACTGTAGATTATAATTCAAATTTTAGTATCATACATTACTCAATTTCTTAATTTAAAAAT